AGGAGAGATGTGAATTGCCAATTTCAATATGGGGTAGGGCGTTCTCCTTGTTTGGTATTTTTATCCAAGGACGTCTTGTTTAGGAACTTAACAAGAGCTTCTCTTTGGCTGTCTTTATTGTCAGTCATAGGCTGTCCGTTCTTGTTTTTGAATTGAATTCCAGGTCGAAGTCTTCGAGATGCAAGGAGACACCCCTTCCAGAAATAGTGGTGAACTTGACGCTTGGGCTTCATGACTTCGCAAGTAGTTTTTTTAGGACAGCTCGTTAATTCAATTAGGTTAAATTAGCTCGTGTCATCTTCTGCAATTCCGAGTCCTTCCATCCGACAGGAAAATATTTTCCCGACAACTGGAAAAAATTTTCCGAGCAAGGAAAAAGTTTTCCCGACGAACAGGAAGAACTCTTCCAGTTGTCCGTCCCGTTAAACCATTCAAATTTTATTGAGAACTTTTGGTCGAACTTCAGAAAAAGTTTTTCCTTCCAACAGAAAAAGTTTTTCCATCCGACAGGAAAAAATTTTCCATCCGACAGGAAAAGTTCTTCCTTCCGACAGGAAAAGTTCTTCCTTCCGACAGGACACAAACGAATGTCCCACGTCCCACCAACCGAGTCCATTCCCAAACCAGAGGAACCTAAAGAACCACAACAGTCTCCTCAGCAACCTCAGTTCCAGCAAGTACCTCCGAATTTCTACCAATTTCCACCTCAAGGTTACTACCCACCACAAGGCTTCCCGAACTACCCTCCTCAGCCTATGCCTTACTTCCCCAACCCTTGGATGTTCCAGCAAGCTCCACCCCAGCAATTCCAATCTCAGTCCAAATCGAAGAGAGACCAAGAGTTCGAAGAAGGTCTGAACCGTTTACGCAAAGATTATGCCACAGCCCCAATTGAGAGAAAGTTGTTCCCGGACCCAAAAATAATGTTTAGGGTAGATGGTTAGATCTAACCTCATTTCTAACACGTTTTCTAACCTCTTGAATTTTCATGACTTCTTCGTAAATGTTTTGTCAAGACTTCTTCGTAAAGAGTGTAAAGGACCCAAAAATAATGTTTAGGGTAGATGGTTAGATCTAACCTCATTTCTACCCTCATTTCTACCCTCTTGAATTTTCATGAATTTCCTTAAGATAGAAAAAATAAAGTTAGTTTTATTTTTTTATTTTGTATAAAAGATATGATTTCAGGGATTTTTTTGACGAAGTGTAAATCTTCACTTCGTCAAAAAATAACAGTTATCTAATGAAAAAGTGTCATTTTTTCATTTGACGAGAATGTCGGGTAGATGGTTAGATCTAACCTCATTTCTACCCTCATTTCTACCCTCTTGAATTTTCATGACTTCTTCGTAAATGTTTTGTCAAGACTTCTTCGTAATGAGTGTAAAGGACCCAAAAATATAATTTAGGGTAGATGGTTAGATCTAACCTCATTTCTACCCTCATTTCTACCCTCTTGAATTTTCATGAATTTTCCCGAAATAAAAAATAAAGTTAGTTTTATTTTTTTTATTTTTTTATTTTGTATAAAAGATATGATTTCAACAATCGGCACAACAACAATTCAAACAACAGCACCAAACTCGTTAGTCATGAATCCAACATCTATGTTAGTAGAGATGAAAAGCTTCATTCCTTCTTCATATACTTTTGAAACAGAAATCCAGAAGATAAAGCAAGAACTTTTAACATGTAATTTAGACTGTAGTGCGAAAGATGAAACAAATGAACAGTATCTTTATGAAATGCAGGACCTCATCGACCATTTGCCTAAACTACCTGAAATCCAACAACAAAAACTAACTATTCCTGAATTCGACGAAATTGAAGTGAAACCAACTGACTCAGTAGAAATAAAGAAGTTCATTCGTAAGGTAAACTATGAGTTTCTAGGATTTCATTGCAACCATAAGGTTATGGACAAAGATGGCGACATGGTATATAAGAACATCTCTGACATATATAAATCTGAAGAATTTAAGACCTACGACAACTTTGTTTCGTTAGTTGCTGAATGTGTATGGCAGATAAGAGATAAAGATAGAAGAGGCAAAGTATGGAACAAACAAATAAGACCCGCTATGTTTGAGATGAAGAGAGCAATTGACGCTTTAGTTGTTTTAGCTGGTTTTATTTCAATGTATAACGCAAAAATGAACCCGCAATGTTCTAAATGTAAAGCAGCAATGAGGAAATATAACTACTCCGTCAAAGAGATAGAACGTATGAGAAACGACTATGCAGACTTAAAGAAAGAAGCAGAAAAACCAGCAGAAGATAAAATGGACATGTTAGAATTTCTGAACAAAAACTATCCAACAGCAGAAGATTTCCTTCTATCTGACGTCAAGAAGAAATATAAAGAAACTTTCGGCATTGTTAAAACATTCGATGTACTAAAAGAAGAAATAGAAGCTACAAAACTGTTTAAAGTCTCACGAATTCATAACGTTTACCATGTAAAACGCTTATAAAATAACTGGGGTAGAAAAGAGGGTAGAAATGAGGTTAGATCTAACCATCTACCCTAAAATATATTTTTGGTCATTTACAATGAAGTCTTGAAAATTCATGAGTTTTGTGTGTTTTAGACCATGTTAGAAAAGAGGTTAGAAAACAGGTGAGATCTAACATGCTAACATAAAATATATTTTTGGTCATTTACAATGAAGTCTTGACAAAAACTATCCAACAGCAGAAGATTTCCTTCTATCTGACGTCAAGAAGAAATATAAAGAAACTTTCGGCATTGTTAAAACATTCGATGTACTAAAAGAAGAAATAGAAGCTACAAAACTGTTTAGAGTCTCACGAATTCATAACGTTTACCATGTAAAACGCTTATAAAATAACTGGGGTAGAAAAGAGGTGAGAAAACAGGTGAGATCTAACCATCTACCCTAAAATATATTTTTGCTGAAAAATGACCAAATTTCATGAGTTTTGTGTGTTTTAGACCATGTTAGAAAACAGGTGAGATCTAACATTCTAACATAAACTTTATTTTTGCTGAATTCAGCAACAAATTTCATGAATTTCCTTAAGACAGAAAAAATAAAGTTAGTTTTATTTTTATTTATTTTTTTATTTTGTATGTAAGAACAGAAATGACAAACATTGAGTTTGAAACAGTTAGAAAGATAGACAATGACACCAAAGTGGTTAGAATAGGTGATTTAAACGTAAGATACTCAAAGAAATACAACAAATATTCTTTGTCAGACATTATATCTCCATCTGGAAAGAAAACAAAGGACTGGGTTAGAATTGCTTTAGTCAGAAAAATTTGACAAGAAATCCTGAGCTTATGATATCGGTAAGATTCTATGGAACTGCAGCATATCTCATTGACAAAAGTCTTATACCAATAGTTTTGTTATGGTTAGACCAGTTGTTGGATATAACTTCATAACATATGGTTCATTCGATACGGAACGTTGCAGTGAAGGCTTACTTTACATCGTTCAGAAACGAAGGACTTCAACACAAAAGATATAAGATAGGAAGAACATATAATATAACTCTAAGATATGACAGTACAGTCAATAGAGTCAAGGTTGTGTTTGTTAATGATATGAGAGCTGCAGAAACAGAACTACTTGAAAAGTTTGAGAAAATATATGGTGCTCCCATAAAAGGTAAAGAAACGTTTGAAGTAGATGAGATAGATAAAGCTATAAAATTATTTGACGAAGTTGCTGAAAAATACATGTAAAGCGTTTATTTTTGGTCTTTTGTGAAAGTCAGAAAATAACGCTAATTTTTTTATAAAATATTTTTTTTATTTTGTATGTAAAGACAGATATGTCAACAACAGAGAACACAACAACTGCTATCGTTCATGAAGCTATAAATGAAGAATATGAGTACATACAGTTTAACAAACAACTCCGTCTCATTCGTTCGGTCAAAGACGATATGTACCAGATGCAAAGTATTTTGACAGCATGTTTTGCTCCAGATACATACAGACGATTGGTTCAAAAACCAAAGCACACAAGAACTTTTGAGCGAAGCACAGCGAGACCGACTTTTTTCGGGGTCGCCTAAAACTCATGAAAATCGTAAAAATTTGCCAAATGGTTTGAGAGGTTGGTATGTACATAGACTTCTTGTAAATGCTGTTGCAATGTGGGCTTCGCCTCGTTATGCTTGGTATATTTACAGACTTCTTGACGAAATTCATAGACAAGAACGTGAAAGATGGAAAAAAGCTTCAAGCAAAAGATGAAGTCATTGAAGCAAAAGACAAAAGCATTCAGAAAAGAATACCACGTTCGGTACCAAAGGAAAGGAAAAGAACTATAAGTATATGATTTATACTGAAGAGTGGAAAATGAAGAAGAAGAGATATGGTTATGTTGCATTTAGTCAGAAGAAACAACAAAAGCTTTTACGACCTTGCTAAGATTTACAAATCTGACAGAAATTGGTTCTATCGCGAAAACTTACCGATTTCAATGACACCGAATGAAGATGTGAAACAAATAGTTCAAGATACGTTACCTCAAACACACTATGATATTAAAGGTTGTACAATACTTACATTCAAAGAAGACTTACCGCTACTGAAAGAAAAAATAACAGAGTATTTTGACAACTTCAAACAAGCAGAGTAAATGAACCATTTATTTTTCAAGCTTGACTTTTTACAATTTGAATTTTGTTGCTGAATTCAGTAAAAATATAATTTAGGGTAGAAGGTTAGATCTAACCTCATTTCTACCCTCTTGAATTTTCATGAATTTTATATATTAATGTTTTCGTTATGCCACTTTGTGCCGTCAGTCAGTCAGTCAGTCAGTCAGTTTAGGAAATTTACACCAAAAAATAATGTTTAGGGTAGAAGGTTAGATCTAACCTGTTTTCTACCCTCATTTCTACCCTCTTGAATTTTCATGAATTTTCCCGAAATAAAAAATAAAGTTAGTTTTATTTTTTTTTATTTTTTTATTTTGTATAAAAGATATGATTTCAACAATCGGCACAACAACAATTCAAACAACAGCACCAAATCGTTAGTCATGAATCCTACGTCTATGTTAGTAGAAATGAAAAGCTTCATTCCTTCTTCATATACTTTTGAAACAGAAATCCAGAAGATAAAGCAAGAACTTTTAACAAGTAATTTAGACTGTAGTGCGAAAGATGAAACAAATGAACAGTATCTTTATGAAATGGAGGACATTATTGACCATTTGCCTAAACTACCTGAAATTCAGCAACAAAAACTAACCATTCCTGAATTCGACGAAATTGAAGTCAAAGCAACTGACTCAGTAGAAATAAAGAAGTTCATACGAAAGGTAAATTATGAATTCCTTGGTTTTCATTGCAACCATAAAGTTATGGAAAAGATTGCGACATGGTATATAAGAACATCTCTGACATATATAAATCGGGGGAGTTTAAGACATACGACAACTTTGTTTCATTAGTTGCAGAATGTGTATGGCAGATAAGAGATGAAGATAGAAGAGGTAAAGTATGGAATAAACAGATAAAACCAGCAGCTTTTGAGTTAAAGAAAACCATTGACGCCTTAGTTGTTCTAGCAGGTAAGGTTTCAGAATATAACGCAAAAATGAACCCGCAATGTTCTAAATGTAAAGCAGCAATGAGGAAATATAACTACTCCGTCAAAGAGATAGAAAGAATGAGAAACGACTATGCAGACTTAAAGAAAGAAGCAGAAAAACCAGCAGAAAATAAAATGGACATGTTAGAATTTCTGAACAAAAACTATCCAACAGCAGAAGATTTCCTTCTATCTGACGTCAAGAAGAAGTATAAAGAAACTTTCGGTATCGTTAAAACATTCGATGTACTTAAAAGAAGAAATAGAAGCTACGAAACTGTTTAGAGTCTCACGAATTCATAACGTTTACCATGTGAAACGCTTATAAAATAACTGGGGTAGAAAAAGGGTAGAAATGAGGTTAGATCTAACCTTTCTACCCTAAACATTATTTTTGCTGAATTCAGCAACAAAATTCTGAGTAAAATAATTTTTAGGGCATGGTCAAACCGTTGGAGTTTTCACAAAATTTAAAAAATAACGTTTACCATGTAAAACGCTTATAAAATAACTGGGGTAGAAAGGAGGGTAGAAATAGGTTAGATCTAACCTTCTACCCTAAACATTATTTTGCTGAATTCAGCAACAAAATTCTTGATTTCAGGGATTTTTTTGACGAAGTGCAAACCTTCACTTCGTCAAAAAAATGGCATATGCTTGCTTCCCTCGGAAAACGAGAGAAGAGATTCCGTATGAAAACAGTGAAGAACAGCGAGTAAGTAAAAAACTTAGTCGCCAAAACTCTATGAAAAACGTGAAAAATAACAGAGTATTTTTGACAACTTCAAACAAGTTAGGTAAATGAACTCTTTTATTTTTCAAGCTTGACTTTTTACAATTTGAACTTTGTTTGCGTAGATATGAATTCTGAAAGAAGTATGAGGGTCTTGTATGACTTTGTACTTCTCCCATAGTTCATGTCTGTCAAAACTTACCTGCCATGGACTCTTTCATAAGTTCCATGAAATCGTCGTCGGACAATCCGCGGGAAAAGTATAATGTCAGTAAGTATTCTTTTAACATCCTTACTTAAACTCTTTGCTGTCTGTACACAAATGACAACTGAGATGTTAAAGTGTCTGAGCTTCTTAAGAATTCGACACATGTCTTGTTCTCTATTCTTTAACAAAGATGAAAAGCAAAGTCATCTAAGATAAGAAAGACATCCTATGAGGGTAAGTCTTCCAATCGTAAGATTGCAATTTCTTCGAAATGTATTCTATCTCTTTCTGTTTGTTTCTGAAGTGTTTCTTCTCTAATATTCTCTGCATTTCCTCATTGGGTCTTTAAACTTAGAATTTATATACTCATTTATAGCATTGTACTTCAAAACTCTTCTTGGTACTTCTTTATCCAATCAACAACTCAGAGTCTTTATAACATACTAACTTAGACTTCTTTATAATATCTTTGAACGAATTGACGGTTTGGTCAAATTGACCAGAAGTACTACAAATGACAACTAACTCATAGAATGGGTTCTTCTCATCTAGTTCTTGTTGTTGTGCAGCCATTTTAAGATAAGTGAAAGTCTTACCCGACCCAGTGGTGCAATTAGACCTGTTATACCATTCTGAGCAAATAAGAACTTGTCATGTATAGGTTTTATCTGAGCATTTTCTAACTTCCTCTTGTCTTGTTTAAAACATTCTCAAATTTCTTGTCAATGTCAGCAAACTTTTTTTTCTAACATATTTTTAGAAAAATTAAAATTTTTATCTTTTAGAAAATGTCTAGCGATTTCGCTATCTATATTCGAGACAAGCTTTTCGACAGCAAAACATCTGTCGACCATAAAATCTTACATAGTGTAAACAAGAAAGGTGAATTTGTTCTAAAGTTCTGTTTCTGGGAATATGACAAGAACCATAAAACATTAGGCAGAGAAGTCTTAAAATTTGTCAATGACAGACTTGTTGACAGAGATGACGCCTCTTGGAAAGATGAAGTCCAACAAAATTTCTTAGAATGCAAAGAAGACACATGCGCTGTTCTTGAAGATGAATAGAAAACAGAATAGATGAGCTATTAAAGGACAAAAGAACTTTTACATAAAATAGTTGCGCCAAATTTGACATAACTCCACCAGAAAAGAAGAAGAAAGAAAAGAAAGAAAAGAAAGTAGAAGAAGAGAAGAAAGAATCTGAACCAGTTCCAGAGAAAAAGAAATTTGACATGTAAAAATAAAATTTTATTTTTAGAACATTTCTGGGTCAATGTCAATGTTCTCTTCCTCTTTAGGAGCAAACACTGGCTTAGACTCTAAAATCTTTTTACCCAATTTACCTTGAACTTCAACTATCTTAGACTCATAATATTCATAGTCGTCTGCTTTCTTTGGTTCATTAAGGTATAACAAGTTTGTATGCTTTGCCTTCTTTAAGGTTTGAGAACCTTCTGTCAAAACTTTCTTTGACTGTTAACAAACCTTCTATGTCTAAGTCTTCAAATTTCGCACCATTTTTAGTCACAATAGCAAACTTAACTGGTTCGATGTTCCAAACTTTGCTGAATGAAGACTTTTCAAAATGTAGAAGTAAACATTCAAATATGTGAATGGGTCTAGTTCTTCTTTAAGTCCTGACATGTACTTGTTTACTGAGATGAATTTGCCATCTTTTTCTATCGGATAAAAAAATATTTTTTTTAAAATTTACTCATAAAAAATTTTCTTTGTATATACACCATTCTGAACATCTAAAAGACTTTTGACATTTGCCAAGAATGTTCGTTTTAGACGCTGTCATATAACCATATTCTTGACAATATTGTTTATACGAATCGTACAATGACCTTTCATCTAATGACACAAAGTCAGTTTCATCTATGAACAGTTCATATACACTTCTTGTTTGCTTCTAACAATGTTTGTCTCTCTTCGGTATGTGGAATTTGTCTTGGATTGAACTTTGAAATATCTAATGTCATAAAATATGAGAACAAGTGGTTGTAAAAGTCAGATGTCAAAGTTTCTGCTAAGTCGTCAAAATATTCTGTATCTTGCATATGAAGCTTCTGACGTCTGACAACTACATATCTTCTGTCAGAACTTTCTAACTTCATCGGAACAGCATTGTTTGAAACCATAATGAAGTTTGCAAACATTTTCACAAACTCTTTGGTCTTTATACTTTCTTTCAACAACTCCAACTTTATCTGTTATAAGACTCTTCAAAGCATCTGAGTTTAAAACTTTTGTTGTATCTATACTTTGAAGTTCATTGCAAACTATAAGTTTCATATTCTCTATTGAGGAGTTAAACTTGCCACAGATGTTTTCTAAGTTTGTCATATTCGGGTTCGAATAGCCCTCTAACAGTTTGCACAAAATATCTGTAAAGAATGTGTTCTTACCAGTTCCTTGTTTTCCAATTATAATGAGAGCAGTTTCATTTTTAGCACTTGGATGTTGTAAGATGTTTGCAAACCAACATAAGATATACTCATAGACTCTTTCGTTTCCATTGCATATAATTTCTTTGACATGGTCTAACCAAGCTTCTATAATATTTCTTTCCATTCTACTTGTTCGTATTTATATCCAGTGAAGATAGAATAGAAGTTTGGAGAAGGTGTATAGAACTTTATACCTCGAACTGAAAAATCTTCTAACTTTGACAATAAGATATCCCAAGCATCTAACATCTTCATGCCAACTTGTACAACTTTTATTTTCTTAAGTTTCTGTCTACATTCTTGTTCTGAAACTATTGTCGCTTTAGGTTTGTTAAAGACTACATCCCATTCTTTCATAACATAACATTCTGGGGCAGAGTCGACATAAATGACTAAACGTTTCAAATTCTCGACTGCTTTGTTATAGTCTCGAAATGGACACATATTTCTGAATGCTTGGAAGTCATAAAAATCTGAAACATCTATTCTGTACATTTTTATAAAAATAAAAAAAATATTTTTTTTATTCTTGACTTTGTTGTTGCATTTGTTGCATTTGTTGCATTTGTTGTTCTTGAGCTATTTGTTGTTGAAGTTGTTCTTGTAATACAATACTTTCACCAGTTGCATCTTCCAATTCGAAACTTTCTGCCGTCATTGACAAATACATAGGACATAAAAGTTTTACAGGAACAAAGTTTGCGTCAACTAATGTCAACGTTATACTTGCCAAAGTGTTTGAGTTCACTAAGGTTGAAAATTCTGCATTCGAATGAACAATAGGCAAACCAGCAGAGAATGTGTTTATACGCATAAGTATCTTTTGGTCATAATAGTTTCTGTCGACATTCGAATAACACTTTGAACCTAAGTTTGAAACAATATATAAAATAGGTGTACTTAAGTCAACGGAACAGACAAATTGTTGTATGACACCTTTTCCTGTTATAGGAAACTGTTGGTAGTAAAAACCAGAAATAAGTTTTGTATTATAGCTCATATGTTTATAGTAAACTCAGTCGGACATCCAAACATAATGAAACCTGCTCTAGTTGCAGCACATGTTACACCCGTCCTTAAAGTATTAAATAAGTCAACAAAACCTGTTGGTGGTATATCTGAGTAAGTATCTTCAAAGGAGTATTTTTTACCATTCACAACAATAAAGTCTTCTGGTGTCAAAAGAGCAAAACAGGCTTTAGTCGTCATTGTGTTTAAGTTAGTTTACAATATCGTCCTTGAGGACTTTGTAAGTTTGTTGTTATAGAATTATATGACTCAGGGTTTTTAGTCGTAATAGTATAAACCATTATATCTTCTGCCATTTACTTAGCAAAGAAATTTTAATGAAATGTTGTGGTCGTCAAATATTTTTATGACGTCTGGGAAACTATACTTTAAGTTCAACGTTTCACCTCCTTTCATAACGTATATCTTGTCAATGACATTATATGAAACACCACAGCAACTAATGTCGGGTTCTATTTCTTTGATGTTTATATCGTCTGCCTCTGTCAAAAGTTTCAATAGTTCTTTCAAACTTCATGAGGTGCAATGACATATGAGTTCACTTTTACAGGGTTGTGTTCGACCAAGTTTAACATTATACCTAAAGCTTGACAAATCTTCTCCTGAGTTTGAAGTTTGTCTTTCAGTTGTTGGTAGTCGTTTCGAATATCTGCAACAGAACTTAAGTCTCTGCTAACTTCAGGATATGTTGGTTGTTCTTTTACAGGAACAATTGTTATACCATCTTCGTCTCGTATGGTTTCCCCACTTCAACATCTCTGTCTTTGACATTGACAATAACACTTTGACTGTTTGTTTGAGTTGGTGAATTTAACTTCACATCTGCCACCGCCATTAAACCTTTTGAAACACTCACGCTTCTATTTTTCGGAAATGACATTTTACTTAGAATAAAAAGATGGACGTATTCGAGTATCTCTTCGAATTGAAGCAGAACAAAGTTTACACACACAAACAATACAAATACATTGACAGAATAGTTCTTTATACAAACAATGGAAAATGTTATAGAATAGCAGTCTTTGCTGAACCAAAATATTTTCATAAAGCAAAGAAAGTTGGTATAACTGAAATGGTGAAAGTTCTTGAAGCAGACAAAAATATAACACAAAACTTACAGATATTTCTAAAGGAAAGTTTATAATACAATTTATGTCAAAACTGGCGTACTGTCAATATTTGACGGAGAGAAGTCAGTTCAAGAACAACTTACTGACCTGCTGCCAAAATCTGCTCGATGGAAGCTGTCGTTATGCCAATCTGAGGAGCCCCAGCAGGTTTCATCGAACGAATCTTCAAAAGAGCATCTTCCGTGAAAAGTGCTATTGGTTTTGTAAACTTCTTTGCTCTCAGTTCATCTGGACCGTCTCTGTCACCAGTATATTGTATTTGAACTGTACCAACAGTTGAAATACCACCCATAAAGTCTTCTGAGTCAGCAAATGGAATGCCAAGCCAAAAGTTTGAACGGTCTCCATTTGTATATTGAGTTTTTTGACCTCCTGTATGAGTCCATACTTTCACATATGGCATAATAGAACTTTGCATTTCAGGGTTAATGGTTGTTGTGAAGTTGTTGTTAAAGTTCATAGCATCTAATGTCAAGTTGTATGACCTCATATCCTCAACTGTAGAATATTCTTCTCTTGGATAATATTTGCCATCTATGTTTATATGATATTTAATACCGGGGTTGTAGAAACAAGAATAGTCATTTATAGTTCGTCTGAACAGTACAAACATAGTATCTGCATGTTTCATTGCAGTTGTTAAAGCAATATCTGTTCTTGCACCTGGGTCAGCACTTTGGTTTCCAACTTCACCTGCAAAGTCTTTGACAGATATTTGGTGTATAGGGAACATAAGTGGAACTGCAATATATTTGGCAGCTAAAGCATTTGAAATATCTGGGTCCAACATATAGACTGCAAGTCTGCTTTCTATTCTCTTGCATTCAAATTTTTCGCATGTGAACTTAACTGGGTCCCAAGCATCTCCAGCAGCATTGAAATAATAGTTTACTTCAGTGTTGAGGTTTGAGAAACCAATGTCTAAGTCAACTTTGTCTTTGCAAAATTCGGCGAATGACGTTTTATTTGTTCCCTTTACGTCTGTAAGAGTGAATGGGTCTTGTGTTGGTGCAATGACTAAGTTATTTTTGCTTGGAGTAAGTTCGATAGAAATTTTTCCTGCCCAGTTTGGCAAGTATCTTAAAAACCTGAAGATGAGGAAAGATGACAAAGGAACTCTAAGTTTCAGTTTTACTTTGGTTACTGCTGCTGCAGTTTGTCCAGAAAGGTTAACATAAACTCCTGGAACGTTAGGGTCAAGTCTTCTTATTTTCTCAATATTTGCATACTGGTCTGTTTGTTCTCTAGCTTGTGGTTGTACTGAGTTTCTCAAAGCGAACCATTCATAGTTTGCCCATGTTACTGTTTGAACTAAGTCAGAGTTAGAATATATCTTATATCCCATGAAAACTTCTGGAGCATATTGGTATCCGACATAGAAAATTCCATTGCAACCTTTCTTGTCAGACAACTTGGCAGAAGGTTTTATTTCAATGTCTTGTTCCACGTATAAGAATGAGTTGTCAATAGAAATAATATGAAACCTGTCGCAAGCAATATCTACTGTTGTTGAAGAACCTTCTCCAAACTCACCTACGTTTCCATAAGAAACAGCAGTTGTATATTCGTAAGTTCCAGGAACTATTTCTGACCTTCTAATGGCATTGTCGCATTCGTTATACCATTCGGAAACATTTCCGTTCATGGCATCCAAAACTGTTGGCGTTATATTCTGAGCGGCGTACATTTCATATGGGTAAAAATATAGAATAGTTGGATTTATGTGTCATAATAGAACCCACTCGTACCAAGCTTTACTTTCTTCCTGACTGAGTTTTTAACTCTTCTTTTTCCTTCATTGCCACTACTTTCACTAGATGAAGTTACTTCTTCACTATTTTCACTTTGTTCTACTCTTCTTCTTTGGTGTCGCTTTTGGTAACTTGCCCTCTGCTTCAAGTTGTTGCATCTTTGCCTCATGTTCACCTAGTATGTTGTAAATTTCCCATGTCCTTTTTGCCTTTGGGCTCTGGTCGCCCATCTCAGGTAACCAATATCCTAGAAAGATTTTGTCATAGTTTGTATTTGAGTCGTCGCTTATTGTTTGCATGACTCTTTCCTGAGTTTCCGGTTCAAGCTCTTCAAACAGAGCTTGTCCATATGGAATAAGCTCGTTTCCAAATATATGTTTTTGTAGCCATTCTGGTTTTCTTTCCATGTTACCAATAATATCTTTTGTGAATGGGAAAGCTTTTACCCAATGTTTCAGTCTTGCGTCATTTATTTCTGTAGTTGGTTTTATTTTGTCAAGGAACATGTTTTTCAATACTAACATTTCATTTGGTACTGTCCATTTGAGTTTTCTTAAATATTCATCCCTTCTCGGTTCATTGTCTGCAAAGTAAGTTTTTATGACATTTTGCAAACTTTCGTTTGCAAGGTCATGTACAATAGGTTCTCTTCCTTCTATCTCCCTAACTTTCTTTCTAAACTCTTCACCAAATATACCATCTCTATGGTTCTGTGTAGTTCTTTGAGATAAATGTTCTAGAACGTCAGGTGTTATATTTCCTTCAGCCATGTTCATTTCATACTGGTCCAAAATATCTGCATGTTTCATATCTTTCAATGGCATTAAAGCCGCGCTGAAAATACCAGCTATATCTGGTTCACCATTCACTTCCATTGCGTCTACAACTTCTTGGAATTGTGGTTGTAAGTTTATGAACCACCTATCCGGATTAGCTTTATGACCCCATCTCATTGTAGTTCCATAGTCTGCAGAAACAAAAGTAGGTTTGTTTCCATATTGGTTAGGTTCTGAATGAACTTTAAACAATGTTTCATTTCTATATGTTTTGGTGAAATTTAACCTTTTATTTTCACCGAGTTCAGCCAAAGATTGAACGTTATATGGTCGTAAGTAAAAAGGATTGTTGTATTTGCGTACACTTTCTTTCAGTACTTCCATTCTATGCTGAATATTTTCATCTGATGTTGGAGTCTTTTGTATGTCGGCGAACATTTTTCGATATTCTTCTACTATGTCAGCTGAATTTTTCTTAGACTCTTGGAAAGATTCCATATTCCCCGCATACACTTGTTGAGGGTCAAGATTTTTCGGCTGTTCCAAATCTTCATCTAGTTCTGTGAAGTTAGTTTCCAAAGGAGGGACTTGTTTGTTTCCTTCAGGCTCTTCTAGCTGTTGTTGCTGAACTATTTCTTCCATGTCTGGTTGTATCTGAACTTCTTCCTCTGGAGTTTCTTGTACCTCATCTGCTGGCATTTCATATATTCCGAGACCGTTTTTAAAAAGTTCCCTATCTAAGTCATCCGGACTCATAAACCTTTCTTCTTTCGTTCCGTCTCTATTTTTTACGCGTTTCATGAAGATAGTTGAATTATCATTTATCTCTGACACCAAATATCTCGGAGTAAATTCATTCATGTCATTTGGATGATATGCTATTAAATCATATCCCTTAGCGAGCTTGTATTTTCCAGGTTTGAAATTATATCCCATTTGGTGCTGAACCATAAAGCTAAATAGGTTCGGGTCAGTATTTCCTTCCTTGAACTTTCTAATAGCTTCTTTATATCAGTCACTAAAGTCAAGAGTATCTGGGTAACCATAATTTTCCTTAAGCATTTTTAAGAATTCTTGGTTTCCTTGTTCTCTACTTCTTTTATGTCCTTGCTCTGTTTGTGGTTGTTGTTGTGCAGTGTTTTGAACTGTTGGTTGTGGTGCAGTGTTTTGAACTGTTGGTTGTGGTGCAGTGTTTTGAACTGTTGGTTGTGGTGCAGTGTTTTGAACTGTTGGTTGTTGTGTTGGTTGTTGTGTTGGTTTTGGTGCATGCCTGTGTCTGTGTCCATGTGACGATGTAAATGTTTTAGGTAGTCCTGGTGCAGGTGCTTCTCTTGGAGGGTTTGGTGGTATATAAGTTCCACTAGCTAGTATATAAGTTCCACCAGCTGGTATATAAGTTCCACCTGCTGGCACATATGTTCCATCTGCAGCATAATGTCCTACCTGACTTTTCGTTTTTAAGAAAGCATTTACTAGGTCTGTTTTGGTCTGTTGTAACTCTTTTTCTTGACTTTCCACAACAGTTGCTCTAACGGCGTCATAGGCACTTTGAACTGCCTGTCTCGTTGCTGCATCTGTTATTTTCGTCATATTTTGTGCTACTTCTCTTAACTCTTTGTCGAAACCTTCAGACTTCAGTTTCTTTCCAGATGAGAAGTCGTTCACTAGTTTCACCTTACTATGAAGAGCTTCGAAGGCGTTCTTAAAGTCAGCATTCATTAAAGCTTCATTTGAACTGTCTTCATCCGCTTGTATTTTTGTCCTTATTGACCCTATAAGTTGGGCTGCTTTAGCGTTGGCTTGGGCATCTAACCAGTCATTATTAGCTTTTATATATTCTGCGCTTTTCATTGCCTTTTGCATGGCTGCGTCGTTATTTTTACTTTCTTGTGCTAAGTTTTCATACTGTACGGTTTGGTTTTGCAACTGTAAAAGTTTTTCTGCCTTTACATTTGCTTCAACTTCTTTTTTATACTCATCGCTATCCATATATGTCTTCAGGGCTTTTTGTTTTATTTCTTCATCTTTCAGTACTTTATATTGAGTAGTATGGTTTTTCAAATTTATAACATCTTGTTCCATTTTTGCTACTTCTGCTGCTTTTTCTGACACTTTTTTCGCATATTCCTCTGTACTTAGTTCTTTCAGTTGTTCTTCTTTCTTCTTTTTCTCTACGTTTAACTCATTGAGTTTCTTTGTGTGTCTGTCATATTCTAGTTTCTTTTCGTTTTCACTTATTTGTTTCTGTATGTCTATGTTTGACTTTTTGACATCTGTTATTTGATTTTTGAGTGAACTCAAATTCATTTGACTTTGAGGGTTATAAGCTGTTCCGTCTGCAGCTCCACCATAGCCTGCCATTTTCGCTAAAAGTGCCGCTCTTAAACCTCCACTCTGTGCACCAATAACTCGGCTTAAAAGCATAGGGTTGCTTGACATTTGTTGCAACATAGTGGGGTCATTCATCATTTGTTGTTGCAACTGTTGTTGTGGTGTTAGTTTTACTATTGGATGTTTCAATGCTCCCTTCCTCTTACGTATATTCTTACGTAGCTTACGTGGCATTTTAAGTGAAGTAAAAAACGGTTTTTGACAGATGTTTATATGACACTTTTTGTTCAGCACAAAAAACTACTCGGTCAAAGTGTTGTCAGTTTTGTAAAATAACCGTCCTATCTCATTCTATAAGGGAGAAAAGGCTTCTCAAAGTATACTTCCTTGGAACGCCTGTAACTTTTCCTGTAGCGACGATAGACCCTTACTTGTCCGGACAAAGTTATACTAAACATCTTCAGGGCTAGAGGGCACGAAGTGCCTGGAGGCCCTCTGAATATAAACTTCATTTATACTAAACATCTTCAGGGCTAGAGGGCACGAAGTGCCTGGAGGCCCCACTACCCTTTTTTTTGGAAAAGAGATTTTCAACAACTGTTCTATATCACAGTTAACGTTGAATTTCAATTCTAACAATATTACAATAGATGAGTCAGCATTTGCAAAAACGAAAGTTGAAAAACTTAATATTTCAGCAAAATCTATTTCTATTGGTTTTAATTCATTTCTAGAATGTCATTATTTACTAGAAGTTATAATAGATTCCGAAACTGGAAGTATCAGTCAAAATGCATTTTATAATTGTTCAAGTCTTTCTAATGTCGATTTTATGCAATCAAAACTAACCCTTAATTTCAATGGTTTTTATAATACTAATATAAGTTATCTCAAATTTAATAATATGTGTTCTGTTTATAGTCCATTTTATAACTGCAAAAATCTTAGAGAAGTCCAATTTAAAGAAACAATAGATGAAGCTCCTAAATTTGTTAATTGTTCAAAACTCAAGATTATAAGATATGAAGCAGTTAATTGTTCTTTTTCCTTTATTGAATCTTGCATAACAATACCAAGTTTGGAAAAAGTATATTTTAAATTGATAAGATTTACAGATGAACTTTTCCATTCTCAAATGGTTCTGGATTTCCAAGAAGAATTCAAATTTGAAATGTATTATGTAGGTTCAGAGAAGACAGATTATATTTTCGATCATTATATTAGTTATTTTATATTTCATAATCAAATCAAAGTCCATGTTCCTGATTCTTACATGATTAATACATTTTGTGGTGTTGATGTTATTAGAGATTATAATCCCAATATGAAAAGAAGAAATAGAAAGCGTAACATTCGAGGATTAAAATATGAAGTAAATGCTCTTTCAATCTGTGATATAGAATATTATGAAAAAATGAAAACTGTCCTTCCATTGCGTGATATTATTACAATATTCAGTAATAATCTTATCACACATATTAAATAAAACATTGTTAATCTTTAATTATGTATATTTTTCATGAATTTTGAAGGTGTTATATCTATTAAAATATTTGAACTTTTCATGAGGGCATCCTTAAGTTAAAAAAAATAGCACTTAAAGATATGAGCTCTCAATTTTCGACCCCCAATATACGTTTATTTTAGTTTCGGCATATTAACATGAAGCACGAGCCAAACCCTTAAAGATGTGTCCTCTAGTTTTGCCAACTCTTTCATATATTGTAACTATTTTCAGGAAAAAACGCAAATTCAAAATTAGAAATTCACATTTAATCGAGTATAGTATTAAATTACTATCTTTCGTACACGGACCAAGCAACAACTCAAGGTGCATGCTCATTACAGACAAAATCCCCTCTAGTGCACTTAAATTGGGTGAGTTAGCACCAAACAAGCCATAAGTTAAAGATCTGAACTTGCTCCAGACAATGTGTCACTTTAGTTATGAATGCACCAGAAATCCGTCCCAAACTCATACATTTCTACGCTAATCACGATAATAAATATACTATTTTGTACTTTTTACAATAAATCTCTCTTTGTTACACTACAAAATCAATGTGCATTTCGTTGCACCAGTTTTGAATCTTGTTAAATAATGATTTTTGTTACTTTCATGATACAGTCCCATTTAGTAAACGGATTATTTACAAAATAAAAATAAAAAATATATTTTTTATTTACGATTTTTTATATTTGGATTTTTAAGGCATAATTTAGAAAATATTAATAATTTAATCGATTTGATATTAAGAAAGACATTTAAAATTCATAAAAGATCCAAATAATTTCATATCCAAAGTTATTAATATTTGAAGATTTGAGGAAAGAAAAGGAGAAATATTGCATATGAAATGTTTTCAAAAAATACATCAGAAATTGTAAAAGAATTTTAATAATTAATAAGATTTGGATGGGTTAAAATTTGTGATGAAACCACCCGATGCTAACTCACGCCACACATACACAGAAGCATTCTATCACGCAACCACCCGATGCTAACTCACGCCACACATACACAGAAGCATTCTATCACGCAACCACCCGATGCTAACTCACGCCACACATAGACAGAAGCATTCTATCACGCAACCACCCGATGCTAACTCACGCCACACATAGACAGAAGCATTCTATCACGCAACCACCCGATGTTAACTCACGCCACACATAGACAGAAGCATTCTATCACGCAACCATCCAATTTGACATTAATATTCATAAATATATTTATCAAACTTATATGCACCCAACGAATTTTCAAATTCCTATCAACCACTTCTTTATTTTTATATTTTACAATTCTCTTATATACAAATTTAATACAAAGTTTTTATTCACTCATCATCTCTACTTCTTTATTATCTTCAATCTCATTCTAGCAGCTCTCGCATCTTTTACTTCCTTCATTAATTCAGGCAAGTATTTTTCCAACCAAATTTCTGGTTTATTTTGTAATGCAGATTCATAATTTTTTGATTGTTTTTCCAGAGAATTGATTAAATCTTTGGCATCTTGGAACGTTTCAAGATTATAAAGCAGTTTTACGACTAAAACTGCTTTATTTTTATCGTCAATATCAATAAATTCTGCGTATTTTGATATTTCGATCGGCGAACTCTTTTCTTTGTGATCCACGAGTTCATCGTGAGCACCTACATTTTTATCGATTGGGAATTCTATGATTTCACCTACGTTTTCTCCTATTTTCATAACATGTATGCCTGCAGAGGGAACATGACTCTTATTCATAAAGAAATCCTTGCAATATTTACAAGGATTCTTATCAGTATTAATATCATTATAGGAGAATCCGCAATGTATGCATTTTTCGTTTAACAAGTCATTCTTCTCGCGTTTTTGCTTATTAATGGTCAATTGATTCATTAATCCTAATGATAGTATCATTCAGAATGAATTTGATGAAAGTAGAAAAGTTTCTTGCTTTTTTTGCAAGTTCGTTAATGTGTCTATGCTTACCCTCTGCACTATTATTAGTGCTTATAGGTGGAATGCGGTGGTATGCTGCTAAATAGGGATGCGTTAAACACGCCATTTGACCGGGCGTACATTTTTTTTGTTCGCCCAAAAATTTCGCCATTTGAGAAATTCAAAAATTAAAAATAAAATTTTAATCTTGATTTTTTTATTTTCGTGATTTTTTTGAAACTTACATAAGCGATGAAATACTTTTTTTAAGTAATCGTTTATTATATAAAATATATCTTAATAAATTTAATTCCTTAAGGTAGAGCGTGTTCAAATTTAAAAATCTCATACAATATTTTCTTAATGGCGTATTTTCTGAGGTCGCCCAAATAAAGGTGAATTCAAATTGAGAACTCCAAGGCTATGGCGAGTATTCAAAAAGTACGCCACTTACAAAATATTGAATGTGGATTATCAATTTTTTGGCGTGTTCAATTTCAAATTTTGATATTTATGTTTATTTTATTCAGTATAATGCTAAGAATTAAAATATAAAATTCATAGAATTTTTTCTTTGAAAATATTTTACATTTTTATTAGACCACTCCTAGACTAGTCATCAGGTTATCCTCGGATCATCCTCAGACTACTCCTTATCAGATTACTCATCATCCTCAGACTACTCCTTAGACCCCTCCTCATCAGACTCCTCCTCAGATCTTCCTCCTGAGACTACTCTTCAGACTACTCCTTAGAGTCCTCCTCATCAGACTAGTCCTGAGACTAGTCCTCAGACTACTCCTGAAACTACTCCTCAGATTATCCTCAAACTACTCCTCAGTCTAATCCTCAGACTCCTCCTCAGATTATCCTCAAACTACTCCTCGGTCTAATCCTCAGACTCCTCCTCAGATTATGCTCAGATTATCCTTAAACTCCTCAGATTATCCTCAGACTACTTCTCAAACTCCTCAGTCTAATCCTCAGACTCCTCCTCAGATTATGCTCAGATTATCCTCAAACTCCTCAGACTACTCCTCAAACTACTCCTCGGTCTAATCTTCAGACTCCTCCTCAGATTATCCTCAAACTCCTCAGACTACTCCTCGGTCTAATCCTCAAACTCCTCCTCAGATTATCCTCAAACTCCTCAGACTACTCCTCGGTCTAATCCTCAGACTCCTCCTCAGATTATCCTCAAACTCCTCCTCAGATTATCCTCAGACTCCTCCTCAGATTATCCTCAAACTCCTCCTCAGATTATCCTCAGACTCCTCCTCAGACTACTCCTCAAACTCCTCAGATTATCCTCAAACTCCTCAGACTACTCCTCAAACTCCTCAGATTATCCTCAAACTCCTCAAACTACTCCTCAGACTACTCCTCAAACTCCTCAGATTATCATCAAACTCCTCAAACTACTCCTCGGTCTAATCCTCAGACTCCTCTATCCTCAGATTATCACTTTACATATATATATCGATAACTAAATAATTACTTATTATACTTTCTTTATTTTTTTTAATTTTAAAATAATATTAATATATCTTTCTACGTTTAATGATGAAAAGAGAAAGAGGAGTAAAAAGAGGAAAGAGAACAGAAAGAGAGAGAAAAAAAAAAGAGAAAGAAAGAAAGAAAAAAAAGGACGGCGATAATTTTGTATTGTTTTGTTATTCGGCCGAATGGCGGCTACTTCGTACCCGCCATTCGGCCCCAAAAATGGCGTATTATTCTATTTTTAAACGGTCATGGCGTAAAACCGTCGCATCCCTACTACTAAATGCTCTTGATCTTTATAT